TCTGTCATTTAGGCTGGGAGTACAATCATATATAATCGTATAAGTAACGTATAATTAGTAGCTACAATGATATGAGTTATACGCGTCTTTTTTTCATAATTATCTAATTGTGTATGTGTGATAAGCACATGCCAGAAATAGGCGTAAATCACAATCGCTACGTGGAACTTTTGACAGAGACCTGATTGGACAAGTTTTGTTATTTTCAACCATATTGATTAGATGATCTGCCGGGAAAGGGTCTGGACTTTAGACTAATTAGGAACAAATGAATCCTCTTTGCACATATTTACATGGTCGTTTTTTCATGTGGTAATTTGCAAGCAGTTCACTTGGTTCAAATGTGGAGGAATGGCAGTGGGACTCAGCTGGGCCAACGTCCTTGGAGATGCGTTTTCTGCCTCAGACTTCATGAACATGTGGGGGAAGATCATGGCCGGTCACGTGCCGCGGAAGCTCCTCCACGTGCCACCTCCCGGAAAACATGAATTCCCATCACTTTCTTCAGTTCCCAAAACACCATTTTCTCTGAAAAGGGTTGATCCAGTAGGTGATTACTGGGTGACACCCAACAATTACAAGATGAGGAAACACATTTTTCATGTTTCTGCTGAGAAACTTGATCATTTGGTCTCAAACATTTCTTGTCCTCCAAGCAACCAATCGGCAAAAGTCTCCTCTGCTTTTGAAGTTCTTTCTGCTATCATATGGAAAACCTTGTCAAAGATTAAGGAAAGCTCAGAGCAGATAAGAAGGGTGACAATTTGTACCAAAAATGCGCACAAGGGGGAATTCGAAATTCGGACTAATGACATGGTGTGGAGCACAGTTGAAGCAAATTTCTTGGTTGCAGAAGCTGAAGTGTCAGATTTGGTAGAGCTGATGATGAACAAAAGGGCAGAAGAGAATGGTGCAATTGAGGAGATGACAGGGAGGGAGGAGGGCGGGATAAATTCGGACTTCATAGCTTACGGAGCAAAACTCACATTCATGAACTTGGAAGAGGCAGAGATTTATAGGCTTGAATTGAAGGGACAAAAACCAGTTTATGCAAATTATGGTGTTAGTGGGGTTGGTGATGAAGGGCTGGTTTTGGTGCTTCCTGCAAGTACTAATAACGTCGGTCGATTAGTGAGTGTGGTCCTGCCTGAAAATCAGCTTGCACAGCTCAAAAGTGAGCTCCAAAGGAATTGGAGTATTGCTTGAAGAGTGAGCTCAAAAGTTACTTAAATCAGCAAAAGAAAGAAAATTGCTTTGCTTTCAATTGATAACTTGTAACTGCTACATATGTTATGCAGAGAAGTTAAAGAGAAACAATATCATTTTTAGTTAATAAGTTAGTATTAAACTTAATACTAGAATTTTAAAAGATGTTTTCAACCTACTAAAACAGAATTGAAACGCCTTAATCACAATTATGTCATGGTAAAACAGCTGTGAAAAACTATTGTTCATGCATGAAAAGTCACTATTCACGCGAGAATTCGCAAACCTGATCTGCTCTTCCAGTTCTTCGTCACTCCATAACATTAGGTCCCGAAAACATGCTTGTGTACATGTGCCGAGTCCAAAGATTTAACCACATACATCCACGGTTTGTCGATCAGCACTAGATTACTTTTCGAAAGATGTCCCAAAAATAATGCTGGACTTGGGAATGGAATTACTCCAAAACCCTTGGTTGCAGTTCGTTTTCTCTTACTTTGATTGTCTGTTAAGAATTCTGTCAACTTATGTTTGATGTTTGACCGTTTGGCCTGTCACTTTCACCGTCTTGATCATCGGGCATCACAAGGTGATCAATCCGGCACATTTGCACTGGCACTGTAAACAACAACAGCAACTGAAGTTGAGGAGGGTGGGTAAGAGAGCCCGATAACTTCGCCTGGAAATTCTCAGAAGCTCTTCGGCAGACAATACGTATCACCTTGCCAGGACCAGTTCCCCAATTTTCTCCCGACATCCAATGCATACACATGATTTGAAGAGGAGGTGATTGCAAGCACGTATTGTTGTTTTGTGGAGAAACACCACCAGCTGTCACAGAGATCATGTGGTTACAAGCACATTCTTGTTTCGTCAAAGCCCTACCATCATGTGTATGAGCTTTTACAACACAAACATAGATCCATGTTTATGCAAATTATGGTGTTAGTGGGATTGGTGATGAAGGGTTGGTTTTGGTGCTTCCTGCACCTGCCTGAAAACCAACTTGCGCAGCTAAAAAGTAGACCCTCAAACTTAAATAAACCAAAAAACTCAAGTAATTTACATCCCTACCATCACCATGCCAGCAGAGGTCCTCCACCACACGGCAACCTAAATTCTGACCAAACAAAGGCTCAGGAAGAAGAAGGCACAGAGCTCCACCTTCCTTGAAACATCACCAAACAATCCGCTGCCACCATACGAAAGAAGCTGATAGGGAAGTCGATGGAAAACCATAGGTATCTGTGCCGATAAAGGCACACAAACGGAAGGTGGTGGTGTAAACATCCGAGCCGGAGCTCTACACACCATTCGGGAAATCCGCGTCAAAGCGCAGTGAAGAGATGTATCAAATTAAGATTGGTGTGGAAACAAGGGGGATAGAGCGATTTGGTTGGATGTGAAAAGCTAAGAAATAGACACTGAAGTAGAAACGAAGCGGAAAGAATTAGGAGAAGTGGAAGGAAATCAGTTGACAGAAACATGGAAGAAGGGAATTAAGGACAGGTAAATGGAAGATTGGAACAGGAACAAGGTGAAGATCGGAGTTTAGGACCGCAAGGTGAAACGAAAGTAAACGAGATGAAGGATCTGTAATAATAGCAAGGTATACAGAAACAAAAAATGAAGGAAACAAAGAAGAGACTGCCGCTGATCCTGGCCACACCTAGGGCCGAAGCCGAAGGAGAGTTGGATCAAGGAAAGACCACACACAAACGGTGCGAAAAGTTCTCAGAGAGAGAAAATACCTCTCATCTTTACCGGAGAGAACCCAAACGCGCTCGACACTTTTTCATCATTGTGGTAAAACGCTACTTGCTTAAAAGCTACTTTTAACTTACTAAACAAAATTAAAACGCCTCAATCACAAATATGTCATGGAAAAACAGCTGTACCATTGAAAAGAATAGAAGAAGCTGACTGTTGTTTTGAAAGGAAAAAAATTGCTAAAGAAAAACCACTGTTCATGCCGAAAAGTTACTATTCGCGCAAGAATTCGCAAACCTGATTTTCTCTTCCAGTTCTTCGTCACCCCATGACACTAAGTCCCAAAAACATGCTTGTGTACATGTGCCAAGTCCAAAGATTTAACCACATCCATCCACTGTTTGTCGATCATCACTAGATTACCTTGGAATAACTCCAAAACCCTTGACTGCAATTCGTTTTGCTCTTACTTTGATTGTCTGTTATGAGTTCTGTCAATTTAAATTTTGATGTCTGACCGTTTGGCCTGTCACTTTCATCGTCTTGATCATCGGGCATCACAAGTTCACTCAAAAGCTCTTTGGCAGACAAAGACAAGACAATACGTATCATCTTGCCAGGACCAGTTCCCCAATTTTCTTTTCTTACCTTCCTTATTTGGAAAACCACATAGTTAAAGGAAATTTTATTTAAATCTATTTAACCTTTTTTTTGCACCTAACTTAAATTTTAAATGTTAATTATCTATTTTACCTTATTGCATAATTACTATTAAGTACAAAATAAAATTAATAATAAAATTCAAATTTATCAATAAATCCAAACACTATAATTAAACCATATGATCACTCTTTGTTTATCCTACATTTATTATGGCTAAAACCCTAATAGCTCTCATACAGAAAAATAAGTTTTTTTTATTGATGGATGGTGATTTTGAAGTTTTGAATCCTCCAACCAAAGTATGACTCAATTTATGAATTTTTTGTTCGTTTGATTTCAATTTTTTAGAGAGTAGAAGTTATTTACTGTAATTTTTTTCAACAAATACAACGAAAGCATCCTACCTTCCGCTAAAACAACAACGAAAGAATCCAACCATGAAAAATGTCCGGTGTGGAAGGACCCAGTAACTGGTTGAATTGGCAAACAACTAAGAGAAGTCAAACTCTATGCTCATTTCTTGCGGTTCTGAAGCGAAAACCACATTCCCTTCCCTTTTCAAGTCTGTTACGAAAACCCACCGAGCTCGAAGGTCACACAAATTCGTAAGGAAGCATTTCCTGCGAGCATCGATACAGAGCTTCTATGGAAACAAATATTGATCATGTCATTCAATCTCATATTCTCCCAAAAGGAGACTCATCCGCGTGATCATCGACCAGCCATAGATCATAATCATGGAAGCGTTTTATCTTCTTCTCAAAACCCAGGATATAATTATTGTGAATTATAACATGCATCCCTTTAGTTTCTCGCACCCACGTCTTGTTCTTAAAGTATAATCCTCCAGTTGGGAATGCTGCATGTGGCAATAGGTAGAGATCCACTTTGTTAACGAGTTTGTTGTCTAATGCCCAGTTAAAAGCAGGTTGATCATTTGCTTTTTTCTCTCTGGACCATGGTTGATCTTTAAGTTCCTCGATCCACTTCTTAATAACCATCTTTAAGTTCGTGCCGGTAACAAATGAATTATCAGCTTTTGTGTTGTGGAAAACCATGCAAAGAACTTAGGTCTAAACACATCAAATTTAGCTTCTAAAAATCAAATGGGTGTAAAAATAAATCCACATATTGAATTGGGTTTATGGCGGTATATTAAATATTAAATTTGAGTTTAAAGAGATATTAATAGTTTAGTTAAAAATCAAATGGGTGCAAAGAGTATGTTGGGTGTAGAAATAGGTTAGATGAGTTTAAATATAAATTCCCCATAGTTAATGGTAGGATTTTTACTACCTATAAAAGTAGGGATAAAAATACTTGCAAGAAAACAAAGTAATTGTAGTATAAATGACTCAAATAAGATTGTTCTTCACAAGAATTGAATAAATAATGGGTACTTAACTAATTCTTAGTTAATTACTAGCAATGGTGCCCGCGCGTTGCTGCGGGATTGGAAATTTATTCAAACATATGCAAATTCATTCACTTCATAAACAATGTTTGAGTGAAGAACCGAGCATTACAAATAAAAAGTAGAATGAAAATTTAACTTGACAAAGAGACCTCAATGATCTGGCTCAATTCATCATTCAAGACTTGGTCGACTTGTGATTCGCTCACTTTATCCCTAAACAAAAGAAAACCAAACCAAGTTCAGCAAGAATTATGCACGATCTTTGTGAAACTATATAATGAATGATACAACATTGTTAAACAAACATAGACTATAGCTGATCTTAAAATTCATTTAAAAGGGAAGTGGCAAATACCGTTCGCTTGAGATGCTAACTTAATGTTTCATCATTCAAATGATATTGCTTTTGAACCAAAGTATGTAGAAAAAAGAGTGGAAACCTGATTAGCAATTACCACTTCCAGCGGTACTGCGCTGCTAAGTTTTACTCTTCAAATCTCCAACAAATAAGCTCCTCTGTAATTTCTGCTTGAGCAGTAAAATAAAAAAATTGGCACATAGACGAAGAGTTAAGACTATCTACCACACTAAGATAAACACCCAACCTTGACAACCATTAAATGACTCCGCCTAACCATTTTGTTATCATGGGTAATCTCTATTAGAAACATTGTATTCATCTTTTTATTTCACCACAATTTTAACACATATTGGTCTGTAATGTGATTTGTTTTCTTTTCAGTGGACATCGGATTAGAGTTATAGAGTGTTCCTTCTTTTTTTACTTCAAATATAATATAGGGATTGATCATGTCATCTAGCAACTGATAATATATGCATGCTCTAACCCAAGAATAAAATAAGAACATACAGTGTTGTGAGCTGCAGAGCCACCATACTGCTGCGCAAGAGGCTCTGGTACAGATCCATTCGAGCCGCACCAATCGTGCTTTCAGGATTTACACAACAATAATTTTTCGAAGATTAGAAGCAAATTATATAAGGTTTATTAAGTTTCCAATTCCTTCTGATGCTAATACATCCCAAACTAGAATTCAGAACGAGTGAGCACATAAACACATCTTCGTATAAATGATCTGATATTGAATTGGTATGCCCTGTGTACCTATATATATATATGTAGTGTCCAACATTTGATTATTTTCTTGTGCCGGTAATTCTTTCTTTTATCTCTTTGTTTATATAGTTCCCCTTATGCAGCTTGTTAACTGTTGTCCTGTTCCTCCTACTCACCAACATTTTCAATTTTTGTGTAGATGCTTCTTTCATATTGATTTGTATACTTTAATTTATTCCCTGACTCTCTTACTGTGACAATCACAGTTATTTTGGTGTTTTGATGGCATATGGTGGCTTGTTAGATGTAAGGACTTTTTCTCCAGTTACGTCATAATTTGATTTACTGTGGTATAATAAGAGCCTGCAAGTGAATATTTATAATTCTTTTAATGCAATACAGTTTCTAAGAGAGCAGCAACCTGCATATGCGACAACTCTGGTTCAAACTCGGTTGCTACCATTGTATAAATTATCAGTCTCCGTACCGTACTTAGTTGCCACTGCAAACTGGGTTCTTGGAGAGCTTGCTTCCTGCCTACCTGAAGTGAGGCTGTTTCTTACCATACCAGCTCCTACTCTTGTAATTTAATTAAAATGAGAAAAGTTTTATCCACACATCACTTGCTATCTGATGTTTTGTTAGCTTGATTTTATTTTATACTTGCTTGAAAACCGCATGCTCTTCTTTAGGCCCACTATTCAAAAAATTTGTCGCGTTTTCAGGAGATGAGTGCAGATGTGTATACCTCATTGCTCAAGGCATTGGTTATGCCTGATAACAGGGATATTTCTTGTTATCCCGTGCGGGTTTCTGCTGCTGCGGCAATTGTGGGACTTCTTGATGTGGGTCACAAACTCAATCTTTTAGTTGATCCCTTGTGACTTCTTCAGTGGCATTATTAATCTTTCTGATCTGATGTTCTGTCTCCAGAATGACTACCCACCACCTGAATGGCTTCCTCTCCTTCAAGTTGTGATTGGTAGGATTGGCAATAACGAGGAAGAAAGCTCAATTTTATTTCATCTTCTCAGTTCTGTGGTGGAGGCGGGACATGAAAATGTTGTAGTTCATATCCCTTACATTGTTTCAACATTGGTTGTTGGAATCTCAAAATGCATTCCCACTGATCTGGAGCCATGGCCTCAGGTATACGTAGATTTCTATTGCTAGGCTGGTAGTTTGTCTATCCTTTTGGATATCATGTTTAGCAGTTAGGGATTGATGCACCCGCTGCTGAGAAGAGAGGGAAACTGCTATGTATATAATATAGTATATGGCTTCTCATCCAATAAGCTTTACTAAATTGAATCATTGTGTGCTTGACCAATTTGGACCCATGAAATCAGATTGCCCCAAAATTAGTACTGTTTATTCATGGAGATTTTTTCCCCCGCGATTTTTTTTTTGCGTTCTGTACGCTCACTGTATATTTTGTGTTTACCTGATCCACAGTGCATGAAAATTTCTTCCACTGATCTCTAAGTAATCTCTAAATAATCACCGATTTCTTTTTGGATGTAAATTTCTTCCAGTTTCAACTATTAGTGGAATATGACCGAAGGGAAGGGTGTTAAGACTGATGAACTGGCATTGTTTATATTAGATGGTTGAAAAGGGCTTTGAAGCATTAGCAGCAATAGATCAATCTTGGGAAAGTTTTACGGCTGAACAATCTGAGGAGAATGCATCGAGTGAAAAGTGGGTATCAAGTCAAGCTACCATCGGTAGAGCTTTCTCTTCTCTCTTGCAACAGGCTTGGCTTGCACTAGCACATCACTTGGTTAGTTTTTATTTTCTAGTAAACTATTTCATATTTAATATGCTATCCGAAGTTAGTGTCTTTAATTGGAGCCATTAAATACTAGGTTCTTAAAACTCCCAACTTCTTGTGCGTCTGTACTTTAGACAACAAATACCTCTGCGCTCATTTTTAATCGTTTTCACTATATACATATGGAATTCAGGTTGTTACATTGTGCTATTTTCTCTGTTTTTAATCAGGGACGGGAAGACGAGGTTTTGCCCCCTTCTTCTTGCTTAGATTATGCATCAACATTGCTCCGATCCATCATGCTGTCTGTTACCGAAAGTAATGCAATTCTAGAGCTTAAAGTATCAAAGTTATTATTAGTTTGGGCTGATCTGATTGCCAACTGGCATGCTTGGGAAGAATCAGAGGATATGTCAATCTTTGAGTGCATTAAGGAAGCAGTCAGTCTACACAAAAAACATGGGTTGAAGAATTTTATTGGAGGACAAATGCCATCTCCTCCAGCTCCACCTGTTCCTCAGCCTTCCATAATACAAGGCATTGGTTCTTTTATAAGCGAGGCTGCCTTACATTATCCATCTGCAATGTGGAAGATTTGCTCTTGTATCCATATACTACTACATGCCCCAATTTACTCATCCGAGACAGAAGGCGTGAAGCAGTCGTTGGCAGTTGCATTTTGTCAGGCAACATATACCCGTTTCAGAGAAATTAAAAGCAAGCCTGGTCCTCTCTGGAAGCCTTTGCTGCTCGCTATATCATCATGCTATTTATGCTGTCCCGAAGTTGTAGAGGGTATATTGGAGAAGGATGGAGATGGAGGATTTCAAACCTGGATGTCTGCACTTGGATCTGTTTCCTCTAGCTCTTTCAAACCGGGGCTACCTACAGAGTCAGAGATAAAGTTGATTGGTAAGTACTTGGTCTCTAAAACGGGGGAAATGAAATTGTGTTTCAGCCTCTAACAGACTGACATGATATTTTAGTTACTTTTGCTTTGCATAAATTCCTGAAACCCTATATGAATTGGATAACTTGGGACATGACTAACAGTTAATGAATCTCAGTGCTGGCACTGGCAAAAGTGGTTGAACGGGTGGTGGTAGTTGGAAAGTCATCTGGTGCCTTGTTACGGGAATGCTTTACCTCTCTGATGGAAGCATCTATACGATGGAAAGAACTGCGGGAAGAAGAGGAAGCAGGTGGAGAAGAAGAGACCGAGGATGATGATGAAATTGAAGATGATGATGATGACGATGACGATGTGAGGTTTGAACTTGCAAGTTTTTTGTTTATCGTCAAGTTTCAGGATTCATCTTTTAAAAGTTCTCTACATTTTTGGACTGCCTATTAATGACAGAAGGCTATGTGCAATAAATTTATGCTATTCTTTTTCATAGGTTACTCTGGCTAATATTACATAGTTTTTGTTATTATTCCCTTCATGAAAATTTACTTTTATCATCTGAAAAGTTAATGGATGATATTTGATGCTATAAACTGAACTTCAATCTGGCATCTTGGAATGCAATGATGTTCGGATGCCCAATGTGTAATGACTGTCACAAGGCATTCGAGCTCAAGAGGATAATGCACATCAAATGTGGAGACATGGGAAGTGCACACATTTGTAACAACGCGTTATTATTAAATTTAAACGTTAACGACTACATTTTTATGATCGATGACAACTAAGGTAACGTCAATCTATATTTATTTAGAGGATGCTACACACACATCATTTTTTACTTTTCACACATTCTTTGCTAATTTCTGTTAATTGATTTTCTTCAATTCATCCAATCCGATGTTTGAAAATTAAAAAAATATATGTGGATATCACACCTCTTTATTTATTTATATTGCTTTTCTATTACTTCAGAGGATGAAGTATGTTAACTAGTTTTCGTGATGTTCCAATTATGCCCTTATGTATATTAAACTAAATAAAAATTAACAGTAACAAGCCTAAACAAACCAAAAACCCAATCTGGTAAAAATCCCCGACCAAAAACAACGAGCATAGCTAATTAATCACAGCCGTCTGATTCAGGGTTCACTGCTGATTCTGGACTGTAGGTGCAGCTGATATTTATCCCCGTAACCCTACAATAAAATTTCACGCCCTCACCTCCCAACTCATATAATTAGCGCCTTTTCCCGGAAAATTTCTCTTTCGGTTTTCGGGAAGTTCTTCAAGTCCTCCGAAGTCCGACCCACAGAGGACGAGAAGCAAACCCCAAACATTTTCCCGGAATTTCTCTTTTGTTTTTCTCGCGTCGCTCTCTGATTGATTACTACGCAAACGAAATTGAAGTTTTTCGAAGCTGTTGTTCAATATATTCGAGGAGGTACGTGGTTTTTTTTAGGGTTTACGAATGGGGAATTATCTGCTTGATTTGACCTTGTTTTTTTAATTTTGGGTATTTAAAATTTTGCTTAGTTTTAAAAAGATAATGATGTTGTTTTTGTAGTTTTCACTTATATATTTCTATAACATTCACTCGTACTGTCAAGTATGTAAAATTTGGGAAATACGTTGGCCTAAACTTAGCCTTACTCAGGTATTCGCCATGAACAACCTCTCATCTTTCACAGCCCTGGACTCCAATCCACTTTCCACCCCTTGTTCCTTTGGGGCCCAACACCACAGGCCCGTTCTCCTCCAGCGCTCGAGAAATACTGTCGTATGCTCAGTGAAGCCCTTGGTCGCCACCCCCTCTTCTCTAAGTTTGTCCGGTTCCCCCAATCAGGGGCTTAATCGAATTGAGTCGCTAACCCAGGTCTCAGGCGTGTTGGGCTGCCAGTGGGGCGATGAAGGTAAAGGAAAACTCGTCGACATCTTAGCCCAACACTTTGACATCGTTGCTCGTTGTCAGGTAACAAAAAGCTCTCACTTTCATAGCCTGATCGTGTAGTTTTCTGATGACTTTTGCATCTTTTCAGGGTGGAGCTAATGCTGGACACACCATTTACAACGCAGAGGGAAAGAAGTTTGCGCTTCACCTTGTTCCCTCAGGTATTCTTAATGAAGAAACTCTTTGTGTTATTGGAAATGGAGTTGTGGTGCATCTTCCAGGGCTCTTTAAAGAGATTGATGGCCTTGAATCTAATGGGGTATCCTGCAAGGGAAGGATATTGGTCTCTGATCGTGCACACCTCTTATTTGATTTCCATCAAATAGTGGATGGGCTTCGAGAATCTGAGCTTTCTGAATCTTTCATTGGCACTACCAAAAGAGGAATTGGGCCTTGTTACTCTAACAAGGTTATCCGAAATGGTATTCGAGTGAGTGACTTGAGGCACATGGATACTTTTCCTCAGAAGCTAGATGATCTATTATCAGATGCTGCATCAAGATTCCAAGGTTTTGAGTATGGACCCCATGTGCTAAAAGAAGAAGTTGAAAAGTACAAGAGATTTGCTGAGAGATTGGAACCCTTCATTGCTGATACTGTGCATGTCGTGAATGAAGCCATCTCCGAGAAGAAAAAGATTTTGGTTGAAGGGGGTCAGGCAACAATGTTGGATATTGACTTTGGAACTTATCCCTTTGTAACATCCTCTAGCCCTTCAGCGGGTGGGATTTGCACTGGTCTTGGCATTGCTCCCAGAGTTTTAGGTGATCTGGTTGGAGTGGTAAGTAGATGGTTACTTCTGGTAGTTGTAGAGAGTATTTTCAATCAATTGGGTTGGGCAACATGAATAAACATATTTCGAACTAAATCTATTTCTGCAAATAGGTTTCTTTTATTATTTTTGTCTTTACTACTGTGATTCATGTTATTTTTCTAGTTGAAATCTTTAAAGGGAGATAGAGCACTGTATGGTAGTACTGGTCATGGCTAATCTTGCAGTTAGTACAAAAGGCCAATTGAGATGGTGAGGTAATGTTGCTAACTTGATGTTGTTTCTGTAGGTAAAGGCATACACTACGAGAGTTGGTTCTGGTCCCTTTCCCACAGAAATCTTGGGCCAAGGGGGCGACCTCCTTAGGTCTGCTGGTCAGGAGTTTGGCACAACTACTGGTCGCCCTCGTCGTTGTGGTTGGCTTGATATGGCAGCACTGAAGTATTGCTGTCAGATCAATGGATTTTCTTCTCTCAATCTCACCAAACTTGATGTTTTGTCTGATCTTCCCAAAATTCTGTTGGGTGTTGCCTATAAACAGAAGGATGGTACACCGATTAAATCGTTCCCTTCAGACCTTCGTGATCTTGAGCAATTAGAGGCATGTCCTTGCCTCTCCCTTCTATTCGGATATGATATGATGTTTTTATCTTAATTGAATTTTATTAGAAGATAAAGGTTCATTTTTAACACTTGTTGCTATTGCTTTTCTATGTTCAGGTGGACTATGAAGAATTGCCCGGATGGGAATCGGATATTTCTTCTGTCAGAAATTACTCCGACCTTCCGAAGGCCGCACGTCAATATGTGGAAACGATAGAAGAACTTCTTGGTGTACCCGTCCATTACATTGGTGTAGGGCCTGGACGCGATGCACTGATTTACAAATAGTAATCTCGATTTTCCCTTGATACTTGAGTTGATTTTTCGGATTAGAAGTAATTTTCAAGACACAGTTTGATTCAACACATTTTCCACCCGAGGCGGCCACAAGAAATCTATGTTGTGTTTAGGATTGCTTGTTGTAATGCATGGATTACTAGGGTATGAATTTGTTGGAATGAATTGAGGTCAGAGTACTCGGGGTCGGTCGTTATCGTAGTTTTCATGTATTAGTTATGGGCTATACTATTATTTGATAGCAGGTAACAGATGCCTAGGCTCATCTCACATTAATATGACAATTTATGTGTGAGAAAATCAATCGCATTCACTTTTGTCTCCATTTCAAGCTCTCCGTCTCTGCATTCACTTTCGTCTCTGTTTCAACCCCTTCCGTTGAGGAGGGACCCCTCAACTAAGCTTTTATTTGAGAGATGTTTGTAGGACTTCCTCTATATCGTATTTCAACGATTTAACCGTTCATCTTTAGCTCTTCACTGAAACATCAACTTTATCAAAAATCACTCAAATTTGAAATCATTTGACCGTTGAGTACCAATGGTAATACTACCCTCTGTTTTACTCCTTTTTAACTAGATTTCTGTGTGAAAGAAACAACAGGGAGAATAAATGAAGAGAAAAAGAACGGTGATCCTTCATCGCCGGCCCTTTCTTGCCAAGAAGGTCCCAAATTTATGAACTACTACTATTAATCATGGAAAGAATTGACATTTGTCTCAGTTGTTATTTAATTAAGACTTGCTAAAACTACATCGAATGTTTTGTTGTACGGCAGAGCATGCTCAATGCCCAGAGAACCCCTTGTATTTGGACGCATACCCCAAAACACACACATTGTAGTCTTAGTCTTAGCTTGGAGTTTGGTAGTAGTATATGGTCTTAAGAAAGGGTAACAAGCACAACCAAACGTTCTCAAGTGATGAAGCACTGGAACAGCACCATATAAAGCTTCAAAAGGAGACTTGTTATGCAAAATGGGAGTAGGCATTCTATTGATGAGGTAGGTGGTTGTTTGACATGCAAATGACTAGAACTGTGAAGGTATTTTAGTACATCCATGCCATTTTGTTCTGGGGTATAAGGACATGACTTGTGATGGGAAATGCCCTTTTTTGAGAAGAAAGGATTGAAGAGGTTTGCTAATGTACTCACCACTCACCATCACTTTGCAATATTTTTATGCTTGTAGAGAATTGAGTGAGAACATAAGCATGAAATGCAATAAAAGTTGCACAAAGATCGGATTTATTAACCAAAGGGAAAATCCAGGGAAATATCTCACCTAGTTTATTCATTCTAATACCTCTGACACCAAAAAAGTATCAATGAAAACTCATAACCATTTTATACATTCTCACACAACAGACCCCAGAATATTACAATTAGTCCGTAGTGCAGACACTCCCAAAGAGAGAAAATCCCAACTTAAACCCACAGATAGCAAAAGAATTACCAATTCCCAGACAAGAAGGCAGGAATACTTGAGTAGTAATTGATGACAGCAATAGACCAAATAGCAAACAAAGGAAGTTTATTGCAATCCGAAAATAATTCGAATAGCCAAACCTTTCTACATAACATTCCAAATCGACTGGATATTTGACTTCTTGTAAAGTGGTCATAACCATTTGGACTATAATGAATACTATTGAGAGAGGCCAACACTAACAAATTGTAGCAGTGGTACTGTCAACCTGAATACAATGACTCTCTGTGAGATTACGAAGTGAGATGACCCAAGCTAACCTCAGAATGTTGACTCTCCCCTTTTATTACACTATCTTCTCTGCTCACCTGGAATCCTGGACTTCACCTATGGAGATGTTCTCCGGAAGTTCTTAGGGCAACGCGATAGTGGTAGAATGGTAATCTTAGCAGTGTGATTAATCTCCAAGAATCTCCCTATGTAATAATCTATGAATCATCCAACCTCTACCATCCATTATAGGCATAGAAATGATCAATAGTAAGCCCCATATAGAGACATTTTAAATATTTAAGAACCAATGACTCCAAGTAAAGCTCTCCTCATACATAGCATATTCAGATAGCTTTTATTAACATTAGGTAATTATACATACTCAAGATCAAATTACTCATTCACTCACATATTCAGAGTGGAAAATAACATTGCTGATGTGGATGATTGCAGTGAAATTAACATCAAGGTTAAGTCTCCGGATTTTTGAGTAGAGGATAAAGCTCGACAGCAGGATCATCATAGGTTATTCCATGAGTTCAGATGCAACATCGATTCAAAACATCTCCCCATAAAGTCGCTTCCTATTTTCACTAATATCCTACCTTAAGCATCAAAGAGTTAGAATATATTGACATTATGCATAAATATGACGACAATTTATTAGATTAGCATAATCGAAGTTCGATATTCCTACACGCTTAAAGTTATACATTTCCACAGTAAATTGCTAATTTAATATAATTACAAATATGTACTAAGAAAATTTGAGCATGATGTCTTTGATCAACGTTTAGTTCGAGATATGCTTTCGCAGGGATATATTGTTTGGGATAAAGATATCGAATTTGCTGGATGCATAGTGGGAGTATTAACCTAGATGGATAAAACCCTTTCTTATATAGATATAATTTGCAAGTCTATTATTTACATATTGTCCTCACCATGGACGCGCAAAAGGTGGAGCCCAGATTGTGTTTCAAGCAACGCTCTACGATTGAGCGTACAGATTTAAAATCGGACGATGGCGAGAGCGGGACTTCCTGGCGGTCAGCGATCGAGGGCTATAGTTGAGCTGTCAAGAAGTCGCAGTAATGCGTTGCGTAGTTCTCCCATTATTTTGGCAGACTAGGTTTCTCATCTATATGAGGGGTCGAGGTGTGTGTCACTGAAATATGTAGATACTCTCACGTGAGTCTTCACTCAATGGCTTTGAATGGTATCAACATACACAGAAGTGCAATCCAGCGTTTTCGGTTTTTTGGTTGGTTTATGTCTTAAATTACTACTTATTTTTAAATCTACTTCCATGTGTATCACTGGGATTTCAGGAAAAAAAGCAAAGACCCACCGAGGCGCCAAGTAGCGCATGATAGAGCACTGCTTATAAGCTTTCTTCTACTCTGTTCTAGCAGCTCAGAGTGTAGGGAAATGTACCTAGCCAAAGCCCGGCTTATCTCTCTAGATAGTCGTTACGTGATCAGAATTAGTTAGCAAGGTACCTGTTTGAGTGCATACATTGTTTTCGGGAGAGGGGTATGTTCGTTTACGCACTAGATCAAGAGAACCAATTATCCTAGCGAGGGAAGCAAGTTCCACACCTGCAAGTTCAGCGAGCGCTAGTGGCATACTACACCTATTATTATGAGTTCCCCAAAGGCACATAACTTCAAAACATCAATATGTGGAGACAATTTTAAATCAATCTGTCCTTAAAATTGTTCGACATATTACAACGCGACATACCTATAGGTCCTGTGAACGCTTCGGCTTTATAGAAGCTCGAAATTCAAGACTTGCCCCTAAAAAGATGACTCTTGTGTGCCCATATTCGACTGCTCTTCTTCTAACACTCGTCTGAAGGGCAGGACTATTCCACCTTATTCCTGGTAGTTACGGCCATGTGTTTCGGCTTTTTCACAAAATTTAGTAAATGTGGGCTCTGAACTCACCTCTCCCCATGATATCGCTTTTCGTGGATACATCACCATACTTTTTACGCCCCTATAACTCGTCACTCGCACCTAGCCTGAAGGAATGGTGTGGTACCACGGCCCACATATACCCTAGGCGCTCTAACTCCTTGATCCCCTTTATGAGAGTACACGTTCCATCGAGTGTTGGCCGTCGCGGGTTAGCCTCCTCTATGCAAGTACGCTCACAGGCCAGGTTCTACCACCAACCCCTAGACCAGTGAAGACAATATAACTCTAATAGCCACTATCAGCGGTATGCTGTTCCCAGTCTCAATATTCTCCGGTTCGTATCGATCCGCTCTCTCTCGCAGTGTTCTCTGTCATTCTGCATCCTTTTGCGCTCGATAGTTTAAAACTGGAGTTTTCTGAGGTACATTTTGTTATAGATCTGAAAATTTTGGTCGGATGTCTTTTTTTGAATTTTGTGCTTTCTCACTTCTTACTCTTTATCAGAGCGTCTGTCCTCCCTGGCTGTTATTACATGTCTATTTCAGTTTGTATGGTGTTCCCCAAAGAGCAGCTAGATCCAGTGCTCTCGGTTGTGCAACGTGTTGCATTCATCCTTCTCGATAAATGTGCAGTGCTGGCTCAAATCTGTGAGGACATTCAGGGTAAGGTGTGCTAACGCCTTGTGTCTCTCTCAGAGGTTTAATAAAAACACTATTCTTCGTTGCGTACCGTTGGCTTTAGATCGATCTAGCTACCCCACACTCACCGCGTCTATTCTTTCAAGGAATCCTCCACTGATGCCGGCTTGATTTGAGTTTTATAGCGAATCGATGTCTATAATTATTTGAAATTCCCTTGTAAATTGAACGAAGTATAGATTGGTTAATAATGAACCTTGAATGGGAGTATTGGCAATATGAATTCAACAATCTTGCTCCACTTCGTGTATCGTGCACAACTTTTTTCTATAAGTAATACCTGCAATACTCTGATGACTGCATTCTCCATTTATGTGCAAGCACTATCTACACTTTTCTCTGACTATTAATGCTCTAGCTGCCTCATTATTCAACTGCCAGGTCATCTATTCATGAAACTAATAATTCATTTGGGACACAAAACAAACTTCTTCAATTGAAAATTTGATGCCTCGAGCGATGTTGTTTTTTGGTTCGCTATTAGAGCGAATGTTGCTTGACAAGTAACTCGTAGAGCTATAATTGGTTCTTATGTTCTCCTTTGTTGCTTTTTCCCTCCTGCCAAGAAGCAGTGTGTTTGCTGAGCATTAAGCTGCTGAAATGCTGTTAACTCTTGTGATCCGCAATTGCACCTTTATTGATCTTCTCATTTTGGTTTCATTGGATCAATTCTCACAACTTCTGTCATGTTGAGGTAAATGCATTTCCGTAATTTATGACGTTTAGGATTGAGGAGATGGGGATTTGAATTAAGAAAGATGGCCTGTGATATGAGCCCTTTGGTTTTCTGTTAGTGGCCTAATTAGATTCTTACTTGCCTGACCTCCTGTAGTATTCGCAGAGAGATGAGAGAGAAATAAACGATTAGATATAAGAAAATATAAATTTGAAATGATCAAATAAATTCCATAGGATATCTATGAATATGTACTGCCGGCAACTCTCTCGCGAACATATAATATGCAAACTAAGGCCGAAAAAAAAAATGATACCAACATAA